TGTCTACTCACTTCCCCTCCTGGTGGTCAGACATTCTAGAATAGGAGAGAGGTATTAGTACGGGTACTCAGACTTGTAGTGGCCAGGGCTCAGTGAGTGAAGCTCTTGCCTATACCTAGTGTATACAAGAACCAGGTTCCATCCTCAGCACCTACGAACCTGGTGTCACTGCTTGTCAGGTCCCATCCTCGCACGTGCGTGCACGCGTGCTCACACACACACACACACACACACACACACACACACACCATTTCAGCAGGAGGACCAGTAGTTCAAAGTCATCTCAGTTACATAGGGGATTTCAGGCCAAACTGTTTCAAGAAGAGATGGCTATGGACCAGAGATATGGTTCAGCCGTTAACAACACTGGCTACTCTTGGAGAGAACCTGGATTGGGTTCTCAGCACACATGGTGCACACCCTTTATAACTCCAGTCTCAGGAATCCAGTGCTTTCTCCGGCCTTCATTGGCACCAAGCATGTATGTGGTGTAGACAGACACAAGTAGGCAAAGTACCCACACACACAAATAAATCAAAAAGTATAACTTAGAATAAAAAGGAGAGGGAGGAGGAGGTGAAAAGAAATTCCCAGTGAGCTTAGCATGTTTGTAAGCAGTAAGTGCTTGGCTGGCAGGTGTGGGGCTCTGGGTCCAAGGTCCACTCTGTGGCATCACTAGAGGTGGAGAAGGAAAGGCCTCCGTGTTAGGACAGGGGCTCAAGAAAAGACGAACAAGCTTCTAGCCCAAAGCTATAAAAAGCTCTGAGCTTGTATGTCTTAGTGTGGTGTCTGGTTTATTATTTTTGGTTGTTTAAATGATGAAGTCACCCATCACCTTGAGCATTTGAATAGTTTGTTTTCTATTTTTTGTTTTTTTTTTTTGTTTTTAATTTTATTTAGTTATTTGTGACAGGGTTTCTCTGTAGCTTTGGAGCCTGTCCTGGAATTCACTCTTTAGACAAGGCTGGCCTCGAACTCACAGAGATCTGCCTGCCTGTCTCTCCTGAGTACTGGGATTAAAGGAGTGTGCCACCAAAGCCCTGCTACCGTTTGAATACTTGATCCCCAGTTGTAGATGTCTGGGTAAGCTTAGGAATTGTGGCCTTGCTAGAAGAAGTACATCACCAAGGGTGTACTCTAAGAGCCCGGATTCTGGGCTGAAGAGATAACTCGGAGGTTAAGAGCACTAGCTCTTTCAGAGGCCCAGAGGTCCTGAGTTCAATTCCCAGAAACCATATGGTGGCCATCTATAATGAGTTCTGGTAGGCAGTATACACTGTATACATACTGAATAAATAAATCTTAAAAAGAAAGAAAAGCCAGGCAGTGATGCACTCCTTTAATCCCAGTACTCGGGAAGCAGAAGCAGGCAGATCTCTTGAGTTCGAGGTCAGTCTGGTCTACAGAGTAAGTTCCAGGACAGCCAGGGCTACAAAGAGAAACCCTGCCTCAAGAGGGAAAAGGAAAGAAAGGAAGACAAACAGAAAAGTAACTAAAAATGTTAATCCCAAAGATGGGAGAAAAAAACCAAGTCATCATGACTAAATTAATTAAAGCAAACTTTTTTATTTGTGTACACAGGCTGCCTCTCCCTAAGGTGGGGTTTGAGAGGTCAACCTTGGACATAAGGAGGACAAGGTCTTTACAGCTCAGGGTAAGGGGGTTTCCAAATGGGGGATCTGCAGGCAAAAAAGCCAGGGTTTTAAGAGCAGAACACAGGCATTAACAAGTTAGTCATAATGACCTCAAACAAAGACGTGACTGCAAGGTGATCTTAGCAACAGGTAGTCATAACAGCCTTTTGAAACAATGGTAGGTTTGCAAGATGTTTACAACATTTTTTTTCCTTCAGACTCTTTCAAGAGGAGGTTTCTCTGTGAAACTGTCCTGGCTAACCTGTAACTCACTCTCCAGCCTGTAGCCCAGGCTGGCTTTGAACCCACAGAGATTCACCTGTCTCTGCCTCCCAAGTGCTGGGATTAAAGGTGTGTGCCACCATCACCCAGCAACTTTTTGAAACAAAGACATGGTGCCATTTCCTGGAACAGGCAGTACAGAATTATTTTTAGTTAAGGTTACAGGTTGGGCATAGCCCAATCCTTGAGAAAAAGAGTTTTAATCATAAACAGGAATGAACCTAGTTTGTTTTGTTTTGGTTTGGTTTTTCGAGACAGGGTTTCTCTGTGGCTTTGGAGCCTAGTTTGTTATTATTATAAGATTTGTGTCTTACGTGTCCCTGTCAAATCTTTGATAGGGTCTTAGCATTTTTTTTTTCTGAGACAGTATTTCTCTGTGCAGCTTTGGAGCCTGACCTGGAATTCACTCTGTAGACCAGGCTGGCCTCCAATTCACATAGATCTGCCTGCCTTTGCCTCCCGAGTGCTGGGAGGTGCGCCACTATCGCTGGTCTGAAAGGACAAGATTTTAAGCACATATAATCTTGGTATGACAATGGGTATTACAGGTAGCTATTTGTCCCTGCTGCCAGGGACTTTCCTTTGGATCTAACATTCCAGCCCTTTGGAGGAGTAGGGGTGAAGTACTCTACTCTGTAACTATTTCCTGCTGAAATTAGGACACCATTGTCAAGGGCCAAGAAGGATGTATTAGTCAGAGGGCAGAAGGAAATTAGGGCAGTGGGGCATTCATCACGAGCATCTGGTTTGCTGCCGCAGCTGAAGAGACAGGGAGTAATCTCATCAGCTGCACTAATTCACGTGGCCTTCTGCAAGGCTAGGGCTCGTCTCTGGAGCCTGTGTGGTCTGCAGCCAATTTCTGGATGGTGTCCCCCCAGCCAAGTGAAACTCTGCCGAAATAGATACAGAATGGAGACCGGAGTTAATGAACTTAAAGGAAACATAAATTTGGAACTTCCCCTCGGGAATGAACACTAGGCAGGGAAGCTTAGGCTATTGCTTAACAAGAGTGCCTACCTGGAATCCATTTGCTCTGTGAGAGGTGGACCCAAGTCATCTTTTTTATGCATGTTAGTCTGTGGGACAATGCCAGATCCTCTGGAACTAGAGTTACAGACAGTTGTGAGCTGCCGTGTGGGTGCTGGGAACTGAACCTGGGTCCTCTGGAAGAGCAGCCAGTGCTCTTAACTGCTAAGACAACTCTCCAGCCCTGGACCCAAGTCTTAAGACTTTCTTGACTCTCTGAAGCCTGTAATGTACATTGAAATCCATATTATAGAAAAAGCAGTCAGTGAGTGTCTCTAAAACAGCTGGAGTAGAATCATGCCTTTGAATAAGAGCAAAAGCTATGGATTTGGGTTAAAAGATAGAGTATTTTTATTTTGTTCAGAATGTATAGATTGGACCGAGATATTTTTAGCATGATGAGAAGCATCCTTAACTTTTTATTTAGAAGGCAGTCAGAGAGGGCCAGTCTTAAATACCGATCCTCCTTCCTTTACCTACCTCCTGGATGCTGACGTAACAGGCATGTGCCACTATGATTAGATTTTATTTTATTTTTGAGACAGAGTTTCTCTGTGTAGCTTTAGAGCCTGTCCTGGAACTTACTTTGTAGACCAGGCTGGCCTCAAACTCAGT